AGTGTAATTTTTTTACATTTTTAATGCTAATAATAATAACATGCTTGCAACTCCTGTCTTGTATTTGATCCTTCATGTGTTCTTGAATATGTTTTCCCTTCCTTAAGACAAATACACCATTCTTTTCAACCTTTCCTGATGGTAAATATTTTGCTTCTGTGCATCTGAGATATCTTTTTGCAATAACTTGAATATACATATATTTATTAACCGACAAACCTATAAAGGGTTGAATAATGTTATAAAATACGACGTTTTTGCACTAAACATGCAAAATGCCCTAATAATATTAAATTATAATAATATTAAATTGTTCCGTTACACCTTTTGAGTAAATAATACATAAAGTCGTCGTGAAAAACTATTTTAGGGTTTCTGTTCCTGTTGTGCATTTTAACCTACCTACCCTATGAATTTACTACCCACAATTAGCTCAATTCCTGTTTTAAAAAGTAATAAAAGCCAACCTAGTAAAATAAACCATTTAAAACAAGTTTCAAATTTGAAGGTTTCGGAATTTTCGACAATTTGCTACCATTTATATTTGCTCCCACTTATATTTCCCACTACTTTACCGACCTTACAACACTACTTTACAACACATCACTAGTGCTCCGCCCTAAAGTAGGAGAACAGGGTGGGACTTGATCCCCAACCAATCGCTCGCACATCATGGTATTCCTCTATTATTTTTTTCAGGCGAACATCTAATATTTTCTTACACAAGTTCGTTACATTCAGTTATCGGTATCACTCTGTATTGTGTTTCTGTTTGTGTGTCTTAATCTGGTTAAGTTGTTATTATAAATGTATAAAGATAACATTTTAAAATAATAATATAATTTAAACCTATAAAAATATTTTTAAGCCTCTTTACAATCGGAAGACATGAATCAGTTTCGAAAATGATTTGTTTACGATGCTCTAACAAATCAATCAACTTGTATGTAAAGTCAAAGAGTGCAAGACATCAATAAAATGAAATCATTCACGAAACTTACAGCGACATGCACAATCTTGTCATAAAGAAATTTTTCACAACCGCCTCGTCAAATTCATCAGCAGCAACTAAAAAACCTACCAAAACCAAGCTACTTTAGACTATGTCGTTATAGAACAAAAAAACAATATTTCAATTAACATTCCTCCTGATTTGTTAAAGGAAGAGTGTACAGAACTGGTAACAGTTAACGAGCGTCTATTCAGCATATTTAATGATTACGGTTTTCGAAAAATTGTAAAAAATTAATCCGGAAAATATAAAAAAAATCTGTCGTTAAATGTTTAAAAGAAAAAATAACGACCGAATTATAGGCGCAAGTAGAATTGATAGCAGTATATTAGGAATCAACGTTCAATCTATTGATAATAATAACTGTCTAGTTTTAAGGAAGTTGGCGATGCGGGAATTGAAGGAAAAACAAGCTTCCTCGTACATTTCAAAAATAATATCGGCTGTATTAAAAGAATATTAAGTTGATGTGCGGCAAGTACTCAGTATAACAACAAACAGTGGGGCAAATATACTCAAAGCGGTGAGTTTGTTAGAAGAGCAGAAACGCGATATTATTAGAGATGAAGAAGAAAATAAAAAACAAGGAAATGAAGAAAAATAAAATGAAATTCGATAATTAAGTAATGCATTTATTACGAAACTATTTCTTCAAAATCTGATAATGCAGCAAATATTCGATGGTTGTTAGATCATTATTATGAAGAACCGCGCAAAAAGCGAGATACGCGCCCCTTAAAATAGTGGGCAGCAAAATAAACGTCATGAAATGAATTGTATAACGTTGAATTGGTTTACCTATGACACAAGTGAGTGTTGAACGAGTATTTTCAGCACTAAAATTTTCAAAGGACGAATATAAAAGAAAATTTGTTGGAAGAAGTCTTGCTTCTTAGATTAAATAGTTAAAATTAATTTTTATAAAAATATGTTCGTAAATACTAAAATTAATAATTTTGCTCCTATCATTAGTTTAATTAATTAACCACAAATTGACCATGACACAAAATTTTTCAATAAGTAAAAGTTAAGAACATAGAGAAAAGAAACAGATATTATTATTTTAAATATGAAACAAGACAAAAAACGATGACGCATTCACTGACATGACCGCCAGATTTGACAAAAGATAAAATTGCTCCAAAAACCGTGTGCCAATATGGTATGAAGTGGCGCGGTAAAATAACGGTGTGTAATTAGATATTTTACAGAAGCGAGTAAAAACAAATATTTAACATTTAACTTGGTGCATTTAACATTTTACACAAAAATTAAATTGGGTACTGCCTACTTCATATGGAAATTGGTTGGTTCTCTGCTTAATATGAATTGTTGTAACCCTGGATTTAGTCCCCTTTTTTCATTGTTTGATTTTTTTTTTTACTTTATTATTGCCGTCAATGAAATTACTATTTATAAATCTCTTAAACAAATTGAATAAATTTGTGGTTTAGAGATGTTTTATTAATAAAGTACATTCTGGCATATAAAACAATTGAATTCCGTTTTTCATTTTTGCATTCCGCGGGTAAATCCGAGTAGGAAATGTTCTTTATCTATTTTCGGTAACTATAATAGTTTAGAAAATTTCAATATGTCATTTTTCCTCAGTCAATTTAAATAAGAAAGAAGATAACGTTTTAACGGACGTACACTAAAAATTGTACTTTGTAGCAGTTTTCGGTAAACACTTGCACTGGAAAATCCCCTAAAAGTTCCATTTTTATTATTCTGTGACCAATTTAGAAAAATTTTTACAATAAAGTGTCTGACATATTTGCGCTTCAAATTTAAAAACCAAACCAAGTTCATACTGTACAGTTAGTTTGTATTGCAATTGGTTGGGATCTAGCATCTATAATAGTTGTCATAGTTAAAACAATATTATATCTTATTTTACAAGAGAACATCAAATCAAAGTTAGCTAAGCGCTATTATACGGATTGGTTCCTAGATCGTCTTCACCCTAGCAGTACTATCCTTGGTTTTATCATCATCAAAAACCCGACATTATTGTTTAACCTGTGTAGGTAGCATTTGAGCAAAGAGTCATGAAAATGCAATATGGCAAATATCAAATACAACATCTGATTTGCGTAGAAAAATGGACTTTTGCAACTGGTACATTGAAAAACACACCGTCGTTCCTAATGTCAAAAGTTCAATTATTTCTTCAGATGGATATTGGATTTCTTCACAGAAATAATTCAAGGCATGGGACTAGGAACAATTTACATTTAATGATCGATCGATCGTTGTAATAGACCAATTTTATTTTTGGGAAGACAAGGTATCTGAAATTATTGTATTATGTATCTCTTGTTGTCTCACAGTTTAATAACTTCTGTAGGCAAAATCATTTGATCGTGAATGTGGAAAAGACAGTCGTGGTTTAGTTTACTGGTCAGTACATTAAACCTTTAGCTGGCTTATCGATCAGTTTTGCTGGTTCGCCATTGGAAATAAATCAGACCACGAAGTTTCTTGGTTCTTATTTTAAAAGCTCCTTGAGATGGGACCAGGACATTGACAATGTCTGCAATAAACTAAATAAAACCTTTTTCGCAATATTAACAATTAGAGATTCATTTCTTGAGAAGGCACTAATGGCTTTTTACTACGCGTCAGCTTACTTCCATTTCACACAATATTGTCAACTGGGGACAAGCGAATGATGCTGAGAGAGTGTTTATACAGCAAAAAAGAGTACTTAGGCTGATTTTTAAACTTCCTCCGAGGCAATCATGCAAAGAGACATTTCAACAGCTCAAAATATTAACAATGCCTTGTATATACTTATTTAAAATACTCTTGATCACACATAAAAATAAATATTCACACAGGAAGCATACTGATATCCACAATTACAATACTCGCAATAGAGAACATCTGCTGAAGCCAAAACTCAACCATATGTTTTATAAAAAATCACTAAGTTACGCGGGACCATATTATTATAATTTGCTGTCTCCAAGCTTAAAAAATTTACCTATAAATCAATTTAAAAAACACATCAAGAGGCTCCTGTCGACCAATGCTTTCTACAGCCTGAAAGAATTTGAAGCGTACCTGAGAGCATCGTAAATAACGTTAAAAGTTTACCGAGATTTTTCTAATGTATACTCTCTTTTATTTTATATTACATTAACTTGTTTGTCATATTTGTTATATAAATTTATACTCTTATTCGTTCTATACATTACTTAAGATTATGATATACATTGTTTTTACAATGAAACTTGTAATTTATTATTTGTATTTATTGACGAAACATCCATTGTATCACCTGGTTTTGTGAATAAATAATCTATCTATCTATCTATCTATCTATCTATCTATTAATCCTCCAAGAAAGTGTTATGATTTTCCTTGAAAATTTACCCCTTGATAGAATACGCAATGTCTAATTTCAAAAAGATGACGCTCCCGCTCATAATTCCAAGATATTGTTTAGATATCTAGACGAAAACTGGATGAAAACTAATGGTAAGGTGGCCGGCCAGATCACCTGACCTGACACTGTTGGACTTTTTGTACTGGCGTCACATTAAACAAAAGAAAATTGTTAAACACTTATGTAGGAACAACTGAAAATTGTTTTTTTTTAGTTGTTATAATCAATGTTTGTTTCGTTTATTTTTTATTCGGACAATTTTCCCTATCTACCAATTTTTTGGTTAAAATAGGTTCTTTTTCTTTTTTCAAATACTTTATTTATATAACATCTCCATTTTTCAAATTTATTCGAATTTTCGCTTGGCTTGTAATTTGATTGACACCTAATATACAATATCGGGAATTAAGGAAATGATTTTGCCTTCTGCCCTTTCGAAGTTGGGTCGGGTGCTAATTTGAAATTTAACATTTGTGTAACAAAAGAATTTGTCTCCTTTTACGAAAGTAGCGTGGCTGTTCGCAAGCTTTCATTCTGAAATAATAAAACTCGCGTTCACCAAGATTGTTTCGAAACTGGAAAATGTTGTTGCAGAGTATGGTACAGCGGTCTCTACTGGTTAATCCGTGGACTATCTAGGCTTAATTCTCTCTGTGATAAACGACTGTTATGGTTAAGGGAACAATATTTACAACTATACCACGAGGACGGTTACTGCTGCGGACCGTTAGCTGCCGACGCCATCAGGGTAAGGTTTTCCTCTAATTTTTATATTCTGGACGAAAAACCTGAAGTAGCTATACAAAATCACAGTATTACCTTCTTCAACCGTTATAATGGGTTTTTTTTTTCGATGTATAGAACTTTATGTTGGCATTACTGTTCAAGATGGCGACAGATTTAACAGCTATCAAGTGATTTATTCTCAGTTTGGTTTGGCAATTCATCGCGAATAGACTGACGCCCGAACAACGCTTGCAAATAGTGCAATTTTATTTCGAAAATAATGGCTCTGTGCGGAATACGTATCGCGAACTACGTCCATTTTATCGTCGACAAAATCGTCCATCAGAGCAATTAATTCGATTAACCCTGGAATGTTTTCGCACCACGTTTACTCTTATTGATAACTCGCATCCCCAGAGATGCCGTACGGTGCGTACAGAAGAAGCTATTGCTGCTGTAGAGCGTAGCATTGAGGAAGACCCGAATGAATCCATCCGCCATCGAGCACAGGAATTGGATCTGTGTCCATCCACTTTATGGAAGATTTTGCGGAAGGATCTTGATTTACGTGCTTACAAAATCCAATTCGTGCAAGAATTGAAGCCAAACGATCATCAAGTAAGGCGTAGTTTCGTCGAATGGGCCAAAACCAAATTGCCGTTGTTCCCGATTTTCATAAGTGAATTTTGTTTATCAATGAAGCGCACTTCTGAGCGCATTTGGAGCAAAGCTAATCCTCAAGTGTATGTCGAAACACCGTTACATCCAGAAAAACTGACTGTTTGGTGCGCTTTATGGGCTGGTGGAATCAAGGGTCTGTACCTCTTCAAAAACGATGATGGACAGAACGTTACAGTCAGTGGTGATCAGTATAGAGCTATGATTACTAACTCTTTCATTCCTGAATTGAATAACCGTGATGTCCAGGAGATGTGGTTTCCACAAGACGGCGCAACATGTCACACAGCTCGTGCCACAATCGATTTATTAAAAGACACGTTTGGTGACCGCCTAATTTCACGTTTTGGACCTGTGAATTGGCCTCCAAGATCTTTAAGTGGGGCTGTGTAAAGTCATTGGTCTATGCAGATAAGCCACAAACGCTTGACCATTTGGAAGACAACATTCGTCGTGTATTATTACCGATATTCGGCGACAAATGTTGGAAAATTGGACGTCCAGATTGGACTACATCTGCGCCAGCCGTGGCGGTCATATGCCGAAATCATATTTAAAATGTAATGCCACAAGATTATCTTTCAGATAAATAAAATTCATGTCACACGAATAATCCATCGTTGTTTTATTGCAACTTAAAGTTCTATACATCGAAAGAAAACACCCTTTATAATTAGTTTTTCGCATGTTTTATTGACACTTGGTGGGTAAAAATGGCTTCATAATAAACCTACTCTTGATGGCAGTTGTAGTTTTGTAGTCGCTATTTTTAGACTCAATATTGATTTTTTTTTTGTCAAACTTGGAGTCGTTGAACAGCGCTTTTTTCAGGATATCAACGCTGCCCGGCTACCCGTGGTGGATTGATTTCGATTGCTTGTATCGCCGCTAGACGCCGTTTCGTGAAATCACTACGATGAAAGTTTATTTTAAAAAATGAGGATATCACTTTTATTGCAAAAAAAGAGCCAAATAAATGTGAATATCGCATTCCGATATCTCTTTCCTAACCTATAATGTCAGAAAAGGGAATGGAATCAAAATAACTTCGCCATCTTTGGGAACGTTGCAGAGCTACCGTTATTAGCAGGAAGTGTTTTCTAATTGAATATCAATTATTATTATATCAATCGATTTTTGGCTCCATTTTAAAAAGAAAACTTTATATGAACGTACAGTCGAAACTCTATATTGCGAAATTGAAGGGACTACTTTTTTGCACTTGAAAAATAACAATACGGATATCTGTTTTGTAATATTTAATAATTTTATATACACATTTAACAATTACTTAAGAAGTACATTTAATGTTTCAAATAATGGGTAATTTTCTTTTAAATATTTTTGTATTTTCACCACTTCTTCGAGAGGGACATATTCCCCATGCTACATAAAAAATTTCTCTAGCAGCTTAACTGAATATAGGGCTGATGGTGGTCCCAGATCAACTTATTCGTCTTCTTCTTCCTCTTGGTGCCCCTCCTCATTTCTTGCTTGTTGTAATGCGGCTTCCTCTGTCAAGTATGCTGTTGTAGGCAAATCCTAATCTTATCACCATAAAATCTTGCAACTCCTTACTTATAAACGTAATTGTTGTTTGAAACTGCTTTATCAACTCGCTTAGTGGCTGATCATCTCCCTGTTCGCATTCTATCTCGGTAATAAGTCCTGCTTGACGATAGGAGTGTTGAATTGTTTCTGCTGTCACCTCTTTCCAAACTTTACTAATAAAGTTGACTGCATCTATCATATTAATGGAAAATTTGTTTTCGGAATCGATCATTTCCATTAAAATGTTTTTTTTGTATGGATTCCTAATACTTTTTATTACGCTCTGGTCCATCGGGTGTAATACATTTGTTGTTTTGGCTGTAAGAAATGTCAATTCAATATTCTGTAGATTTGGAATATGGGGATGTGCACGGCAGTTATCTAAGAGAAGTAATATTTTCATCCACTTTAAATCGGCATCCCATTTCCGTAACTCCTCTTCAAAAATTTGCTATGTCATCCATTCAGACTTGTTTGCCTTGTAAGTGACCGGCAAATGCTTGATGTTCTTAAAACATCGTGGGTTAGTTGATTTTCCACTCACGACTAGCTTTCTTTTTTCTCAAGGAATAAGCCTCGCACCGACTTGTACAATGTTCTTCCTTAACATATCAGAGACTTATCACACTCTAAATTCTCCAGAGAAATTAGACTGTTTCTTCTGTTTCTGTTTCTTTTTACTCAATTACAGAATACACCCTTTCGGTCAAACACAAATTTTAGATCAACATATGTTTTATTATCTACCTATCGATATTTACGATTTCTATTAAATTTTAGATTCCATCGTTTTTACACTTTATAATTTATGTATTGTACTTTTGTAGTGTATGCCTATTGTATTGAATTTTTATATTGTTTATAATATTTATTTATCCACAACCACAATTTGTCAGCGTTAATCTTTCTTTTTTCTTTTGTACTACTGACTCGCCATTTGTTGTAAAGACCTTTTATGTAAAAAATGGCTAAATAAATCTATCTATCTATCTCGCACTCATATTGACAGCTACTAACACTGTTATACGTTGTTTAGAAAGTTTTCCACCTACACACTTTTCGCTTCGAAATTTAAGAGTTTTATCTGGCGTTATTTTGTAAAAAATACCAGTTTCGTCAGCATTAAAAATGTCGTCAACAGGGTATTTTTCTGCTAGTTTTGGCAACGTCTTCTCCAGCCAATCGGTAGCGACGTTTCTGTCGACATCACGGGTTTCGCCACTTATCTGTGCATAATTATGGTATAAATTATCTGTTTGAACTTCCATCTTTCCGAAGCCTTGAAATCGATAATCCCAAGCTGTTCAGCAAACTTTTCTGCTTTTAGTTTTACGATAGGTCCAGAGAGTGGTACATTTTTAAGACGTTGCTATTGGAATCACTGCAACATTGCCCGGTCCAAAAAATCTTCAAATTTTGGCTTTTTTAGTTTTTTACTAGAACTGCCTACCGCTTCAGCCTGAATGATTTTTTCTTTGCACTTCCAAATCGTGGGTACAGTCGACGGTATAAGTCCGTATCGACGTTCCAATCGACGTCCCACATCACTTTTCTTTTCTCCCCGTTCTATCTCCCGAATTAAAGCAACTTTATCTAGCGATAAAACTTTTAGCTTACTCGCCATTCACTAAGTTTGTCCTTTTTTTTGGTATAGAGAAATTCGTTATACAGAGTGGATTAATTGTATGGAGACCTAATAGTACAACAAATTTTGTTCGTAATACAGCGTTTTACGTTATATCCTAAAGATCTTAACTTTTGAGACACAGGGTGGACATTCAATTAGAAAACACTCTGTATGTAAATGTACTGTTAAAACGCCAACATTACATTTCAAATGTTAATAATAATTATTATTCATTCTCTTAGGTTTACACATTGCAATGCAAAATATTACAATAATGATAAACAATAATACAGGGTGATGTTTAGTATGTGTTATCGCCTAATTTATCATAATGTGTCAACATTTATTAATTTAATTTTTTATGATTAACTGGTGTTCTAAATAAAATATTTAGTAAGTAAAATGCCCGTCACATAATTTAATCGCTTAAAGTGATAATTAAATGGTTTTTGTTGTGCTGAAAGGACGAACCAAAATGTATGGCTTCGGAACATGTTAAAAAACAGTGAAAAACCTGTCATATCCTTCCTTTTATAATTTTAATACATTGTCACAAACGTAAGTTTTGCCACTAAAACTATATCGCGACAGGACGGGAAACGAAATAAAGTGCGATGCCATTAATTCAGAGTTATATACGCGGCCTATTTAAATTTACAGGGTGTACGAAAATGACGAGCAACAAAGTTAAAGGATGATTCTACATGAGAATTTAATGTAAAAGTCAATATTTTTTAGAAAAACTTAGTTCTAGTTAGTTACTAATTATCAAAACACCCTCTGAAACCACATAGATTTTCTTAAACCAAAAAAAAAAGAACTTGAAACTATTATTAGCTACTAGCAATTAATTAAAAATAAACAATTTGTTTTATTGTACGTGTTATGACCACTCTGTTCAAAATAGTCAAACTCGTTTTTTTTGCATAGTCATTCGGGGGCAGAGACTGGTCGCTGGCCGGTACCAAACCCGGAAGCAACCAATCCGGGGAGACTTCCGGAGCGTTGCGACGTGAAGTGTCGATGAAGATTAAGAAAAAACAGATACTGAGCAACCAAACCTTTAAGGTGGGGCGGTGTAAAATCGAAAAATCGATAGGTTTGACGGTCGTTCTTTCCGCTACAGGATCGTAGCCTGAAGCAGCAGTTCGTGGAGCCTGCCACCATGTGCATGGAGAGCAGCTATTGGCGCAACCCGACCCACCACCGCCAATCGACCCCCACCACCTTCCCGGAATTCCAACCGGACGTAGCCAGACACCATAGTCTCGGACAGTTGGCTTACACGTCGTCGTCTCAGCCGAAATTCGACAGGTGAACATCTTTAGGAGCCAAAATTTGTCAAAATCGATCTCTACTAACGTTTTTCGCAACTTATTAGGTATTCAGGAACGATCTAATGGATACTTGATACATTAATGCATTGTTCGGCGTTAATTTCATTTTCCCTACTGTTATCTATTCACGAACACTGCAAGTTGTGTTGCATATCCGAGTACCTGTTGAAAAACCACTGGCCAAAAGTCACTCAAATATTTTCTGCACCCTAAATTTGGGTGTTAGAAAAAGATAGGAAAGTTTTTGGCAACCTAATTGAGTTAAAATATTTAGAATAAAGAAGAAATAGCTCATATTGTTCTGATGGGTTAATAATAATAGCTTTTTCATTAATCAACAGTTTCATATTTTTGTCAATATTTCGAAAGGAAGTCAAATTATATATGAAGTTGTTGATGAGTTATACAATAGTATATTATAATAAACTCGTGAGTCAAATGACGTTTACCGAACATGTTGCATACTATACTTTTTCTACGACCATTAGTTTCTGGGTAGATTTTCGCAAAACAACACGAATACATTCACTGACATAACCGTCAGAATTGACAAACGTCAAAATTCAAAGCGTGGGAAATATCTCCGAAAACATTCGATTGCTCCCAAATCCGTGCGGTAAAATCCCGAAAATCCCGAAATGGCTCGGATTCATGGGAAATGAAACTGACGTGGTAAAGTGACGCTTCCCGCACGCTAGATCGGTGGGTAATTAGGTATTTTACAGACGGTAGTAGAAAAAATTATTCAAATTAAAGCATTTTTAAATAATTAAAAATGTTTACCCTTGATAAAACTGAAAACTGAGTTCCTCCTCTTTTAATGAAAATGGACGGTTTAGGTGCCAGCAATATCTAAGGTTTTGTATTATAGGTTTTTCCATAAATTGAAAGCTGTTCGGAATTGTATGTGTGATATTAAGAAATAAAATAATTTCATAAATAATATAATTTTTGTTGGGTATTTTTTCTGCCAGAAAAAAGAATTCTCAAAAACCATTTATCCCAAAAATTCTTGAACCAGGAAGAGCTGCAGTTCCGATGCTTAAAACTTGTTTTTTACAAACAACTAAAAATTGATTTTTTCAGGGGTACATTATTACCCGACAATAAAATTCCATAAAAAATATAGCATTTTTTTTTACATCGCTTTTAGTCTGCAGGGCAGGGCACACGACATTAGAAAAAATATAGTTGGAAATGGCCATTTCTCGTTTTTAAAGTAGATACCTTGACGTTATTACTCCTATGATGTACAGTGCGGTGCGCTGAGTAGTTCCGAAAAAAGTTTAGGCTGTTATGGAAAATCAAAGACCAAAAAACGTGGGAGATCCAGGGCTATAATCCTTGCTTTAGAATTTTTTTGAGTTATATACAGAGTGTGTCAGTTATAAAAATAAATTTAAAAGGGGGTAAATTATTAGGCCCAAATGAAAAATTGTAAAAGATTGGATGATTTAGTTTAAACAGTATCGTAAACTGCATTGAAGCTTACAATTTTCGTATTTACAGTTGTCGTCCACTATACAGGGTACGTGAGATATAATTGGAAATTGCTGCTACAAATTTTTTATGTTTACCAAAATTTGGCGACCTCTAATTTGAAAGGCACTTTATACGGGGATGGTTGAAAAACTTAACTGGCAACCCTATATTTGTTTTTTTTTTTTTTACCTCGATATCTTAGAAAACGGAAACATTACAGCCAACCAAAATGTTATTGACATAAATCGATTTGTGAATGACACGAGATTCTTTGAGACAAAACGGTGTTCCTCAGGGACCGGCACGGATCCACCGAGCACTTGTGGCACGGACGGCATCCGAGAGTGGGCTCGATCTTATACGATACTCAACTTGACTTCGTCGACTTCGTCACCCTGTTTCGTTCCTTTAGGTGAGTAAATATACTGGGGAGTGTAATTAATTACCGAGCGATAAAACTCGGGGGCAATAAATTTCGCGAAAATCCCATAATATATGAAAGTTTAACATCGGAAAACTTTTACAACGCGTATTAGGCCCGTAAATCTCACTAGCGATCGTTCTTCTTTTTTATTCCTCTCCCTACGATTTATGGCAAGTTTCTATGAAAGCGCTGGAAGGTTACCAAAAATAAAATATTGGTTTTATTTTAATTAGTCAGAATTTCTGAGAAAAATGTCAGAATTTGCGACATAAGGCAGAATGTCATCTCAGAATTTGTGAGAAACAGGTCGGAATTTTTGACTTAATTATAATGTCTGGGAAATAACTTAAAATTTTTGAGAAACAAGTCTATAACTCAAAATTTGTGAGAAACTAGTCAAAATGTCTGGAAAACAAATCACTATTACCGAAATTACTGTTGTTAAATATTTGTTTTTTTATTATTCCCCGTACCTCTTCAATCATTTAAGTATTTATGACAAAAAAATTCGAAAAAATACCTTGAACTTTTTAAATGCAAATAATTCAAAAGCTTATAGACTTAGACTGCCAGATTTCCACTATCGATATGAATCTGTTTATATAAGTAATACGGTGAAACTAGCGCCCTTTATGAGCAACGTGCAAATCACTTTCAAATTCGTAATTGTCGCCTCAAGAATTCGAAAATTGTCAATTTTTATTATTACACTACAAAAACTTCTAAGTTAACTAAAACCTAATTTTTTTGGTGGCCTTTCACTTATTTCGTAAAAGTTTAACGGTTCATCCTTTTTTTGTTCTCGCCGCAGTTTACTCATCCGCAAAGATCTCAGAGATTTGTTCGAACAATTAGCGATATCGTACAGGAGCATGACCGTGAACGCTAGTAAAATTAACGGAGTCAAGGCGAAAAGTGGCGATAACGCGCGGAAAGCGACGAAATTAGGTGAGCAAATTTTTTCATTAGTCCCATTCGTAGGTTAGAACAAGTATAAATCCCCCCTACCGCTCATAGATCGCTATAAATGTCGACGAAATGCAGTAACAGATACATATTGTCCTAGTAATAATTAATAAGTAATTCTTATTAGCCCAAGAGGAAAAAATAATTACAGAGAGAAATAATAAACTTTTGGTCATGTGGTTCAAGGTCTTTTAACGAGAAACACTAGACCGGAACTGGAGGGCACCGTGGTGAACACCCAGAAAAAAGTGTTCGACGCTATAGCCGCGGCCAGCATTTTCACGAACTGCGCTGGGATCGACACTAACAACTCCCAAGTGATAACGCTGTCCACGTTTGCGAAATTTTTGGAAACGAGACAGATGGAATCGAAAACCGAGGAAGAAGTGAAGGCCCTGATAAATGTACGTACGTACCTAATAATTTTTTTTTTAATTAGGTTATTGGTTAGTTAAAGCTAAACTAACTGAAACTTCACTTAAAAAAAATCATTTGCTTCGATTTAGTTTTAAATTTACACGTCTGTATTATTTGATGCTGGAAATATATGTACTTGAAGACTGTGATTCCCCTCTTTGTCTACTACACTACACTAGTCTGAAGATTAATAAGTAGAAAGCAACCCTCGAATCATTGTTCACAAAGTTCTACCATTGTATCTTGATGGTAATCAACGCATGAATATTTAATGGCAACTAACCCAAGCATTCAAGACCTCTTGTCCTTGCTCTTTAGTCTTAACATCTCTTTTGAGAAATAAAGATCAAATGTATCTGTGAAAACATTATGCTGACTGTTACCTTACGCGTTCTTCGTTATTTGATTCCAGAGACACGAACCGGATGCATCGCTTAGAGTCCAACACTGCTTATCGTTCGAGGGTTTTGCCAGGTATCTAATGGACAAGGAAAATTTTGCCTTCATTCCCGAATGCGAGGTGCCGAAAGAACAGGAAATGAACAGGCCGCTTTCCACCTACTACATCGCCTCGTCCCATAACACTTACCTCACCGGGCATCAGCTGAAGGGCGAGTCTTCGGTAGAGTTATACAGTCAGGTAAGTTTCATATACCTTGTTAGTTTTCTCCTCCTTCTTATTAAGTCTCATATACCTTCTCTTTTCCTTATATTTCTTTCTTACTTTCTTTCTTCTTATTCTTCTTCTTCTTATATAGCTTATCCTCCATGCCGATTGGCGCTCATATTGAGGGAAACAGATCTAACGTTGTCGTCCATTGTCTGAGATATAACTCTTTCCAAGTTTAATTTTGAGTTGAGTTGATATATCTTGCTCATAACTATGCCCTCATTTATTTCTCCTTTTATTATCCCAGGCTATTATCAAAATAAAATATGCTCAATGTTTTCACTTTTTTTCTTCCAATCTTCGCAATTTTCCGAGGATCTGCGAATTTTACATGTTTTTACATTAATTTCCTCTAACACTAAAGCTTTTTTTGAGTGAACTCTTGAACCTTAATTGGACCCATAGCTTCATTGAAGTTTTATAGCAACCCCCTATATAGAGTCGTACGTATTTCAGGTTTTACTGACCGGATGCAGGTGCGTTGAGCTCGACTGCTGGGACGGTGAGGACGGCTACCCCATGATATACCACGGTCACACCTTCACCACCAAGATACCCTTTACGTCAGTGGTCGAGACGATCTGCAAGAACGCCTTCGTGACGTCCCCGTATCCGATCATCCTTTCGATAGAGAACCACTGTTCTTTGCAGCAACAAACGAGGATGGCTCACATATTTCAAGTAAGCGATCAAAAATAATAAAAAGTTCTTTGTGATGGGTTTTGGGCTGGTTGTTTTTATTCGTCAATTTGATTGGTTTGTTCGGGACTAATCAGGACTGTTTTCCGTACTCAAAGCTGCTCAAGAATGTGTGCTTTAAATTGAAAATTTTAGATACTATAAGTCTAAAAAGGATTTCCAAATTTGAATCTAAACAGAATTTCAATTAATATTTAAACCTTTCAAAACTAGGAAATTTGTCCTGTAATTCTGACTGAAATTAATTTTGGCAGAAAAATTCGTTTATTAATGATTCCCTGTCGACATTAAGTTTTGAAACTAAAGAAAAAATCGTTTCCGTAATATATTCGGATATTCTAGAGTACAGTATTCTCATAATGTTCACTATGGTTGTAATATTCCTCAAGTTGTCTGCTTACGATAGCCATTGTTTAATTAAAGCTCTTCGTTCAGTAATTAAACGTCTAATTGCTTTCATACCACAAATATGTAGAAAATTCCAAAATTTTTTCAGGTTGAGATAATCATTTCCTAATTAAAATTCTTTTATAAAATGTATAGAAAAGTGGAGAAGTGGAGAATTAAATGAAGCTTTATCAACCATTCAGATTAGTTACACAAAAATGACAGTACAAATAATTAAATATTACCAATACACTTATCGGTCCTATAGTTTTCGGCACCACATTTATCCCTTTTTTCAAATACTTTCAAAAGACGTCAGAATTAACGTCAAAATTCAAGCCTTAAGGTCATAGAACTAAAAACATCCATCTTGCAGTTACAAATTTTGTTTCTTATGATGGTTAAAACTGTATTAATTGTTTCGTCATCAACTTAAAAGTATAGGAAATCCCAATCCCAAATTTCGTTATACCGGTAGTATGCCACAATTTATCTGGTTACGATAGTCATTTCCTTATTATAGCTCTCAGTTCTAAAATTAAGGGTCGTCCTTTTTTAGTTCATGAAATTGTAAGAGACTTTTACGCCACACTTTACTTTAAACCTGAACCCACAACCCTATCCAAATCAGCTTGCAATTTATTACAGTCCTCCAGTGATCTAAACACCTTAAAATCCTCTGTAATAGAGCTACAAATGGTCTCTGGAAGACGATTGATAAACACAATAAACAATAGAGGTCCCACGTTCCTTGCGGTACTCTACAATCTACATTTCTAATTGCTGAGGCATCGGTCTCAAGCGCGGTTGTAAAAATCTCAAATCAGTTAACTTTTGTAAAAGGATTCGATTCTGACCTTGTCAAAGTCTCGCAACGAGAGTATATGTCTATATGTCTATATGTATATATATCTATATACCTACTGTGCTGAGCTGATAATTCACTTTTTCAATTGATTTGGGTATATCAAAACGGTCAAGTAAAGGATATGTTCTGAAATATCGATCGTTTCCAGAAAGTGTTCGGCGAGAAACTCGTGTCGAGTTTCCTCTTCGAGTCGGATTTCGGCGAGGAACCTTGTCTGCCGTCACCGTCACAACTCAAACACAAAATCCTGATTAAGAACAAAAAACTGACGGTCGACGTGCCGCCGCCGCTGAGCGTGTCCGCAATGTCAACTCCGGTACGGCCCGGAAGCGGAATGCGTCACTCCGTGCCCGGACGCACGAGCTCGATCATCAGCAACGCGAGTTCGAGCTCGTTCAATGACGATTTCAGCGACGATGACTACGACGACGAGGACGACGAGGACAACATAGACGGTCAGTCAATTTTTATGTCGATATTCTGCCTTATGGTTCCCTTAAACACACTTAACTTAGGTTGCATAAGCTTCAATTTGGCTAAAAGAGTCCGACCTGGTTCCTGGCTATTGCGATACTTCCGAATCGTTGTTTATGAACTAGTTTGTTTAAAATTGCTCTCTTTGTATGAAAGAAAAAAGGAGATAAAGATAGAAAGATAATTGAGAGATAAACAGAGAACTTAAGAGATAAATAGAGAGATTAGCAGACAAAGAGAGAAATTGTGGGATAAAGAAGAATATTGAGAGATAAAGAGAGATTAAAAGATAAAGTGAGAGATTGAGAGATAAAGAGAGAGATTAACAGATAGAGAGATGTAGATTAAAAGATAAAGAGAGAGAGTAAAAATTAAAGAGAGATTGAGAGTTTAGGAGAGAAATCTGCATATAAAAAGGGAGATAAAATATATGTTTATTAAGAGATAAAAAGAGCGGTCTGACCGTTTTTGAATGTTATATCAAAAGTGACATCTACGGGCTTATCAACCACTATCATTGAACATCTAAATTGATTTTTCTCTGAAAAAGAGGTGAATATACTAAAAAAAAACTGCTGCTGTTGCTGAAGTTTTAGTTAACCCCGGAAGAAGCTAACGGAATTGTAACTGGTCATGTCAACTTTAATGAGAGGAGATTAAATCCATTCGGTTATTCTCGAGTTAACTGCCAATCGCAGTTTATTTAAAATAACATTTCATCATCTCCCACCACTTAAAGTCGATATATATAGCCGAATAAAAAGTGTTCAACAAAAATTACTTAGTTTGAAAAAGCGTTCTTTTTTCCACAGAAAAATCACTTAAAATGTTCAAATATGGCGGTTTCGCCTCCTGGTGGGCATATTGAAAAATCCAAAATGAAAGTGATAACATTTTCTGGCGTAAGTTTCGATGGCCAGTAGTTTCTGAGATAACGTACTTGAAAGACAAAGAAGTTAACTAAGTACCAAAACTAAAGTAAGTATATCCACAATAATTATTAAGCTCTGAATAATAATTGGCAAAATGTCAATAAGATTGATTTAGAAACAACTGGCGCAGAAAGAACCCAGAAGATTTGTAAATAGTATTACTACTGTGGAAGTTTAGTTAAAAATTGACATTACAATTAATATAATAACAAAAAATTGCAAAATTCTCTAAATGGGAAGCAACAATTTGACTTTTTGTTCATAACATTGTTGTATAGTTATGTCCATCATCCAGAATCCATTGTGAGTAAAATAGTATATTATGCAACAAGTGCGGTAAACGGCATTGAAACGAGTGACTTAAAAAGTTTCCCGAACGTGTTGCATACTATACTTTTTCTACGACCGTTAGTTTTTAGGTACATTTTCGCAAAACAACAGAATACATTCACTGACATGACCGTCAGAATTGACAAACGTCAAAATTGAAAGCGTGGGAAATATCTGATAAAACAGCCGATTGCTCCCAAATTCGTGCGGTAAAACTTGCGTGGTAAAGGGACACTTCCTGCACGCTAGATCGGTGAGCAATTAGGCATTTTACAGACGGGAGTAGAAAAAAGTATTTAATTTATAAATTGCACTCTCATTTTTGGTCACCCTATAGAAAGTGTCCTTTGCACGCCAGAAAATAAAAAGTTTTACTACGAGCTATGTTCCATGTTTCCCGCCAAAGTGGCCTAAAACCCGCTCCGCTATACTCCTGACGACTTCGAAATACTTTTTTTCTATGTCGAATCGAATCGAAACGGATATTGCAGACAAAACGATGCACTCAGTTTTGGCGCCCAACGAATCGCCCAGGCCCTACGGGGTGTCTCACGCCGTATCCAAAACCAGTTCGACTAAGAGGGGCGTTCCCGACGACAAGCTCCGGAAAAAAGGCAGCCAAATTTCGAAGGAGCTCTCGGACCTGGTGGTTTACGTGCAAGTACGATCGGGGTTTCTTTCGAGGTCGTCATCCGTTGACAATTTTTATACCCGCAGGCCATCAAATTTCGCGGATTGAACACCATCTCCCCCAGCAGTTCCGTCAAACAGAGACCTAGGACCTGCGTGTCGATATCCGGGAGTTCGATCGTAACGACAGGAAGTAGTTCGGCGTCGAACATATCCAGTTCGGGAATCGGGAGCGAATCGGATAGCGTTTATGAATCGGAGGCAAGTACGCGGCGATATTTTTATTGCAATACGAAAATCCTAATTTTCGCTGCTGAAACGGACCGAATCATGTTTTTTTTTCTAGAAGAAATGTGAAAAAAAATTAAAAAAAAAACAATTAAATTTTACGTAGATTCCTGAATACTGCGTTTAAAATGTATTTTTCTTAATAAAAATTTAATTTTGTTTTCAACTATGCAATAATGAAAACAATAAATAGAGGTATATCCTTGATAACAGTAATAATCCGATCATACGGTAGCCCAAGCTTACGTTTTTTAAATAGAAAGAAGCACGTTTTTGTTCTAAAAGAAATAAAAAAAATAGAATCAAGTAAAAAACGATTTAATTTAATTTAATTCGTGAATAGATTCTAGTAAAACACGATGTAATTTTACGTAGATTCGTTAATACCATCTTTAAAATGTCTTTTTCTTATTAAAAAATTAAGCTTACGTTGTGCAAAAACGCGTTTTTCCAATAAAAGAAATAAAAAAACTATAGAATGAAGTAAAAAACGATTTAATTTTATATATATTCGTGAATACCGTCTTTAAAATGTCGTTCTCCTATTAAAAATATATATTGATAATAATAATAATAAATACAGCACTATCTTGATAATCCGAATATCCTTTAATCCGAATTTCCACCTTTGAAATCCGCAAACGCAAGTTTTTCCTCTAAAAAAAAAATAAACAATAGAATGAAGTAGAAAAAACGACCTAATTTAACTTCAATTCATAAATACCTTCTTTAAAATAATTGTTTATGAATAAATTAAGCTTGCGTTCAACTATGGAATTGTGCATTTTTTTAAATACGCATTTACATTAGATTCACCTATTCTTCTGATAACAATAATAATTAATACAGTACTACCTTCATAATCCCAACATGCGTTAGTTCAAACTTATGTTTTTGAAATGGACGGAAGCACTTTTTTCTGCTAAAAGAAATAAAAACAATAGAATCAAGTAAAAATAGATTTAATTTTACCTAGATTCGTGAATACTTCCTTTAAAATGGGTTTTCCTTATTTAAAAAATAAGCTTACGATCAGCTATGAAACTGTGATTTTTTTAAATATGCATTCAGATTAGATCTACCTCGTCTCTTGATAATAGTAATAATTAATACAGTACGAACTTCATAATCCAGACAGGCGTTAATTTTTTTCTAAAAGAAATGTGAAAATGTAAAATAAATTAAAAAAAAACTATGCCATTCAACTTGATTCTTGAAGACCCTTCTTAATTTTTTTTTCACCTTTTTCATGTTAAATAGTTTTAAATGAAATAAATGAAATAAATAAACAAAAAAAATACTTTTAACTGAACGTTTATTCGTGAATACCAATACCTGTGCATTGATTATGTTCGATTCACTAAGTATCTTGATAATAATAATAATAATAATAATAATAAATAGAGTACAAACTTCATAATCAGATTTCTTATAAAGTGATGTTATAAAGTAACACTTCCCCCGCACATAATTAGGTATCTTAAAGTATGGTCTAGAAAAAAATATATTTTATTACCGTGAGTAGGCGAACTGCCCAACTTCAGGATCCTCCGTCCAAATTCTCTGGTGGCATGCGTTCCTAACCAATTTGCAGATGGCGGCACCACCCAAATTACAAATCTCCAAGTAACCAAACACCTAAGTTAACTTACCCAACAGAAATCTAGCATTCGGAGTGTTATTTTTGCACTCGGCTCCTATCTAGTTTCATTTTAGATGAAACAAAGGCCAAACGTCAATCTTCCGTGCTACCAGTGCTCCTCCATTAACGAAAACACGGCGAAGAAGCTGTGCCGCAAACAAGCCCTAGCTTTGGTCGCTCACACTCAGACCCAGCTGATGAGGACTTATCCGGCTCCCATGAGGATCGACTCGAGCAACTTCAACCCCGTCATATTTTGGTCGTTCGGTAAGTCAATATCCCATATCTCAATAATATTCCAATAAATTAGGAATAATTACATCATATGATGTTTATCTTCAAAATATAATACTTATACCATTTATTTTCCACTTCATGTTCTCTAAATTGAACTGAACTTCTGACCTCCAGTCTTAATAGAAAATAAAAAATTATAAACACCTAAAGGACTTATTTATTGTAAAATGTGAAACAAAATTTCGGTGCAGAGATTTGAACAATCTTTTCCCAGGTTCTTCGCTTCTCGTCCCATGATCTTGATAATTTTTTTCTTAAGTGTCTAGGAATTTGGTTTTTTTTTTAAAGATGTTTTTAGAAATTAAAAATAGCTTTTTCCTCTAGCTATATTTATTTTCATTTTCATTTTATAATCTGACGCTGAGAGAAATGTTATGGATAACCAATTAATTCTCCACATATGAAATATTTGTATTGTCTCGAATGGCATACTTACCGAATCGCTGATGTTTGTCAAGAAGAAAGACGAGAAAGCTGTTTCCCGATCTTTAAATGGTTAGAAAGTTGTTTTTTAAAAGGGCCATTACCGACAATACGATACAATTTTTCTCCAAATTTTCCGGTGAAGTCGCCATCGTATTTACGCTCATCAGTAAACTCGGTAACGGTACGTTATGTTCTCTGTTCTCCGTTCCTTGATCTTTGTTCTCTGTAACAGAGCTTCGGGGAGTTCTTGAAGCCGGCTATTGGTGGTCGTTGCTCGGAAAGTCTCTATGAAACAAAGTAAATGCCCGAAATTTTGAGATATTGATATTGAAATTTGGAATGAATTTACAGTTCCATCCCCCTATTGAAGCTTGGCGAGATCGGAAGTTTAGAAGTGTTTTTTGGAAAAAAAATGTTTTTTTTTTGAGTAACAAAAAAAATATATTTTTTTCTCGAAAACGCTATGTCCGATCGAACAAATATTGTTTAGTCAAAAATTTACAGAGTGGAACAGTTAAAGACAAACAACTTAAAATTGCTATTTTTCTGACTAACAGCGCAGTTTGGTTTTAAAATCTTTTTAGACTGCGTCAAAAGGTACAATTTTTACAGTTACCGAGTTCGTACAGGGTGAAAGATATACGGCTAGAAAGCGATTGGTTGAAATTAAATTTTACTTCTTAACTCAACTATTTAGGCTTTTCATCTATTATACGCTTGTAAAATATTAATTCGTTCGTGATAGTGCTGCAGGATGTATATGCGAAACATTGTGAATCATAAATTCTTCTATCCTGAAAGTGCCGTTAGACTCCTCTGGGATTTGACGGAAAAATAAAGCTATTATATTTTTCAAAAATTTAAATAGGGTGGACGGATTATATGAAAAAATACCATTTGAAATTGCTATTACTTAAAAAAAAAATTGTATTTACCAACGTTTGCCGTGACTTTGAAGTTCAGCGAGACGTGAAAGTCACTTTATACATTGTGCATGCATAGTGGTCCGCAGGAGCACTGTAGTAAAACAATGCGTTCTTCCAGGACAATCCAGGCAATCTTGTTTAATTCTTTGCTCATTTTTTTAAAATCCCACTTTCGTAGATTCCAATGCTTCCTTGGTAATATTTCAATGCAGCGAAGCAATTTGTAATAAAAGTTAAGGATACACAGGAAACGCGCTTTCGTTTGTTTCTTGCATTTCCTAGCTTTATCGAAAGGCGGGCGTGTTTTTCTCAGGTATCCAGATGTCAGCACTGAATTATCAGACGGACGACACTGCCATGCAGCTCAACAACGCCCTGTTCGAGACCAACGGCAGATGCGGCTACGTCAACAAGCCGAGGGTGATGTGGGACAAGACTCACGTGATGTACCGGAGGTTCAACCCGTGGGACAAGCAGTTTGACGGCATCCATTCGTCGCAGTTCGTCATCAGCGTCGTCTCGGGGCAGTACGTGTCCGAGAGGAACGTCAACTTGAGCACGTACGTGGAGGTCGAGATCATCGGCATCCAAGTCGATTGCAACAAACAGAAAACCAAAGTGGTGAGTGGAACGCCAACTGTTATATGCTCAGCATGATAATATATTGAATGAAATATGTTGAACGTTAAAGTGACTTGGTAAGTTAAGCTACTACGAACCGTATAATCAAATAAAATTAAATGCCGGAACTCCAAAATTTGTTGCATTGATTTCGCGTACCATCCAAAATATATGTTTATCCATGTGAATATTGTTCTGTTAGACATGGCAACATAGCATGTTAACGTTCCTGCCGTAGAAACCCCTAGGATTTAGTCTATCCTTAGCACTCAATACGTATCGATGCGCGAGCGCTCTGTCCTCAGGCAACGCACGATAACCGGCATTGTAATAATTTGAAGTCGTTACAGAATAAATCCTTAGTTTCTGAACTAACGTATTCATTTAACTGTCGCACGAACCCCCGACAGAACAAATACCTTTTCCGGCATCTCTGAACTATAACTGGCGCTTATCGAGAACGTTATAGAGATTGTGACTTTCCTTGTTGTTCTGGTATATGCAAAAAGAAATATCGGTCTCCAATAAAAGTTTAAAAAAATTGCTTGCATCTCCATTGCCTTTATTTTATATTATATCTCAACGTTTCAGTTGGCACGCATCTCCCACTGTTATCAGAAGAATATTGATAAGTTCTTAAAACAACCAGTTTAAATATAGGCCTGTGTGAAAACCGAGCGTGACTGCTGATCGCTGGATTGCGGCTGCTAGTCAATGGAGTGTGACTGTTGGTCGACAGAGTGCGACTGATGGTCGATGGCGTGTGACTGTTGATCTATGGAATGGGACTGACTGCAGGACTGCTGGACGATAGAGTCTGACTGCTGGTCGATGAAGTGACTGCAGGTCCATGCTGGTAGATGGACTGGGGTGACTGTTGGTCGATGGATTATGTATGCTCGTGGACGAAGTGGAATTGTTGGACTGTTGGCCAATCGAGTGCGACTGCTGGTTGATAAAGTATACTGATCGATGGAGTGTGACTGTTGGTGTCTTATTTCCAATTCCTTATTCAACCCAAGGAGTATGTCACCGTTCCTTACCTTTTGCAAACAGCTGATCTTCAGCAACCATAGATACACCCACATCTTACCATCTTCATTTTAGGTTTAGATTTAAACATTACAATACATCGTTTTCAGGTACAAAAGAACGCACTGAATCCGATCTGGAACGAGACGTTCCACTTCAGGATAATGTTCCAAGACTTGGCGTTCTTGAGGCTCGCGGTGTTTGACTCAACCAATAACCACCTGCTCGGCCAAAGAATCGTCCCGTTGAAATGCCTCCGGCCAGGCTACCGGCACCTCAGACTCAAAAATCCGCAGAATCGCTACCTGAACATGTCCACTCTGTTCGTTTACTCCAGGATCGAGGAGGAGAGTTTGGAGAACGAAACCAGGGAGGAACCGGCTCCGATCGAGACCGACTTTAAGGAGGTCGACAGCGGTTACGTCGGTAAGTCGGGATTAGAAAAAATTTAATCAAAAATAATAGAAATAGAAATAACAAAAAAAAGGTAATTTTTAATAATAATAATAATAATAAATTTTCTTTATTAAAAAAATAAAAAAAAATAATTATTACAATATGAAATAGAATAAAGAAGGAAGATACTAAAAGAAAATTAACAAAAACCACTAAAAAAATGACCAATGACCAAGTTTACCCTCTTCATCGAAGCGATTATCATCAGATAGATGCCAAAACCCGCAAAACCATTTAATAAATATTTCTTTTAATTCTATATACCGGAAGGATTGAATTTACAATGTCTAATTGTTTATATTTCGCCACACAAAAGAGATTTTCGTGTTTTATATAAAAAAAAAATTCTTTGGTCAATTTTCAACAATCTGATCTCTTTCACGTCTTGGTTTATCACAAGCTATCGTGCTATTCAAGAAAATTTTTTAAACTTTTGCAATATTGATTGTAAATGTATGTGAAACTCCCGATAAACAGCTGCATTGTTTGAAAAAAAAGCAATTCTTTCAAAAGATTTTTTCATGAAATCGAAAAAATAGCAGGACCGCAATTTTCAGGCACTCCGATATGCGTGAAACGGAAGATGTTCTTTCTGATGGTGTACGGTGTGTTGCCCGACGAACCGTCCACGATCCTGAAAATTACGCAAGAATCGACAACGCAGGACGTGATACTGCTTTGCCTGCAAAAGGCCGGCAAGCCAGTCGAGAAGGTCAACGATTACATCCTGGTCGAAGAGGTAGCAAGGGGGTGGGAGAAGAAAGACCACAGTTTGCCGGCGACGCAGCGCATCCTCGACCTTCACGAACGCCCCCTACAAGCGCAGTCGCAGTGGAAAGGAGAGGGGAGGTTCATCTTGAAGCGAATGGGCGACGATCCGAGTAGCAGGGCGTGGTGAGTACGCTTCCGGATTAAATTTACTAGCTGTTAGGTTCCTTTCGACCGGAGAAGAAATTTAAAAACGTTTCTTACAAATTCTGACTTATTTTTCAAAAATTCTTACTTAGTTCTCATCAATTCAAGTTTAAAAATCTGACATTCCTCGAAAATTTTATCTAAAACTAAAAAAACTAAAACCTACGCTTTTAGAAATTCTTACTTAAGTCAGAAATTCTGACTAGGTTCTCAGAAATTCTCAATTATTTTTCAGAAATTCTTACTTAGTCCGACTTATTCGTGAAAAATTTTGTCTAATTAAAACGAACGCTTTCGACAGGAAATAAATTCTTACTTATTGATTATTTTTTTGAAATTCTGACTTATTTTTCCGAAATTCTGACTAATTTCTAAAAAAATTTGCTTAATTAAGGTAAAAACTACACTTTTGGATTTAATTCACTGACTTTCGAAGGGAGAATACTGACCCATTTTTTTTCTAGACATAGATTCCAGAAATTATGACTTATTTCTTAAAAGTTTTACTAATTATAATAAATACTACGCTTTTAGATTAAATTTATCAGCTTTCAGGTTAGAAAGGCTTCTAACCTATTTTTTTAGAAATTCTGACTAGTTTTTTGAAAAATTCTGACTTGATTCTGAGAAATTCTGAATTATTTTCTTGAAATTATGACTTAAGTTAAACATTCTGACTAATTCCTCAAAGATTTACCTAATTAGACTAAAAATTACGATTCCCAATTAAATTTAATTGAAACGCGAAAACCAAAACTAACCAAATTCATAAACGTACAGGTCATCAGTATTCAATTTTTGTCTTGAAGGCAGACCTAGATTTATTTTTGATTGATCCATCTTTAAAAAAAAATCTCAAAATATCAGTGTCGTGTCTTGATTTTTACGTATATTGTAAAACTTCCATGAAATATTCTAATAAATCATTTAATGTATTAATTAATTAATTAACACATAAATATTAAATAATTGATATTTACAAAATATTTTCATGATAAAAATTAGTGAAAAATAAATAATTATTTAATAAAATTTTAAAATCATTATAATTTTTCGACACCAAATTTATACGTTTTTTTTTTTCATGATTTTAATGGCACATTTCCCGTCTGATTTTACTCAAAATGTTGAAAAAACTTTGAAAAAACTTGGCAAGCCCATTTGTCATCATAAGGGTTTTTATTTTGTGTTAATCACAATAAAATTGCACACTCCAGTTTGTTCTTTAGTTTTAGTAAAAAAATAAAAATATAAAAATTTTAGCATTGGCTGGGTCGCCACCATATTTTATTTTAATAGCATAAATTAAACACCCTTAGGGCGGTAAATAAAAGTTTGTGAAAATCAGCGAGGAGGTTTTCCATTGCTTATTAAAAAAACGAACCCAACAAAACAAACAACAAAAACAAAGTGTTTATATGAAAAAATATTAATATTTTTCGACGATAAATGGAATTTTGAAACTGTCCATGAAAAATTTAATGTTACGTATCAACAAACGAAACAATTACCGGTCGTACATTTCTGAATTTGTTCCTCCAATCGTTTAACCATGTGCACGTATAATTTTAACTGCGTTTCTTGTACTTTTATAATACGGGCGTTTTAATTTGATTACTTTGCCCATTTCGCCCATCTTCGGACTTGCATTCCATTATCTTATATACGCGTGTTGAGCGTTTCTACTAACGTCACGTTCATTGAGCCTTTTACCATTTGATTAAATTAATAATTAAATTAAACATCCTTCAGAAAGTCCCTTAAAATCCCGAAAAAGTCAATTTTTCGAAATGGAAAAGTTGTATTAACGATAAAACTTTTTTCTATTGTAAAAAGTATAAGCATCACACAATTTCATTGCATAATTTAAAAATCATTATTAAGAAATATTTAGACATTTGCTGAAAAAAGATTATAAAAGTGTTATTTATAATTTTTAGTTATTAAATTATAAAAAACCAATTTTTTTTTCAAATAATAAATTATATTCTTTTTTTTTCTTCATTTAGTATCGTATTAAAATAATAATAGCAATAAAAAAGCGACTAAATTAGGTGCCACGAAACTGTCAGCCATTGTTTTCCAAGCCCATGGCAAATCAAAATGGTGACGTTTCTGTAGCGCTCTATTGATTTTTTTAATTTAGTAATTTTTTCAACAGAAAAATTATTGCAAAATATTTCAAAATCTACATCTGTGTCAAATATTAAACCTTTTTTAAGTGCTAAACACTATAAAAATTCTAAAAACTGGATGTTTTCATTGCAATTTTTAATATTAGTTTTTTAATCGCAGTGTATCTGTTTTGTTTTTAATGTCAACACACGCCGCTAAAGTAAAAATTATTTATTTGTAAACACACTGGAGCAAAAATATTATCATTCACGCAGGACAATCAACCCGTCAAAACATTAGAAATATAACTACGCATACACTGGGTGTTGCAATTTCTATGGCGAGCGGCGTATATTCCGCAAACTTTATCGTATATTATCTAAAATGTCGACTGACAATATTTCAGGTTATCGTCGATCAGGAGCGTCGCCAATAGGGAGAGGGAAGCCAGAAAGTCCGACGGAGCTCCCAGTAACGCGTGGGAGGAGAACGATACCTTTTTAGTGTGCATATACAACGTTTCGCCCGAAATCCCCTACGCGATTCTCAAGGTAATTCCGACTGTATTAGCCCTAAAAAAATTTCTATGGTACGTCCTTGTTCTAAGGCCAAGATCTTTCGATCCATAATGCTGTACATTTGAACTAGTCTATATACATAATATGTATGAAAGAGGTGTGAGGGAGATATTTTGGGGTATAGAAGAGCTATATGCAGGTATATATAGATATATGTTTCAAAGAAACTTTCACAGTTTTAGTCAAGCTCTGAAGAAACCAACAGGATGATTGACAAAACGTCAGCAACTTCGATTAAGCAAAAACCGACGCAGAATGAATCCAGAAGTTTTCTAAAAAGGATATATAGATATAGATAGATAAAAACTGAAGTGCTATTTTAGAATTTTTTAACAAAACAATCTTTACGGCACATGGCAAGACAGTTACAAAAAAGGAGCCCTTAACACTAAAATAGATAGAGAAACTTATACAAAGAAAGCGAAAGCTTTAAAAAAAGACACACCAATATTCTCATTCTTTTTATATACACAAGGATGTTAAAAATGTTTGCAGTCATAGAGGAAGGATGAACGGAGTTATAGGAGAGGTATATGGAGCTTTAGGAGAGGTATATGGCGGTGTAGTAGAGATATAGGTACAAGGATAGGAGAGATATATTGAGGTATGTAGAGGTATAAATAGGTAGATAGATAGATAAAAATCGTACATGCCATTTTACAAAGTTTTAACAAAACAAGTTTTAGAAACTGGGATCACTCATTTTTACATAAAACGTTGTCATAATTATAGCTATCGTTATAGTTATCCAGCAGAAGAACGCTTAGATCTTGCTTAAAAGGAAGACTAACCAATATTCTCATTACTTTTATATACACAAGAATATTAAACACTTTTATTATTATTATTATTATAGAGCTATAGGAGAGATATATTGAGGTATGTGGAGGTATTAATAGATACAGAAAAATCGAACATGCAATTTTACAAAATATTTACAAAACAATCTTTACAAAATGGGATCACTCGACACTAAAATACAAAACAATTTTTACACAAAATATTATCATAGTTGTAGTTATGGTTATCCAGCAAAAGAACGCTTAAAACTTGCTTCAAAGGAAGAAAAACCAACATTCTCATTCCAAGAATATTAAACACTTTTGCAGTCACATAGGAGAGATATATGGAGGTATAGGAGAGGTATGTTGAGATAGATGGAGGAGTAGATGACAGGTTTATAGAGGTATATAGATAGATATATGGAGGTATAGAGGAGGTATGTGGAGGTATAGATAGATATATAGATAGATTAATAAAAGCCTTCTATTTTACACATTTTTAACAAAATAACCTTTTCGGTATCTGACAACATTGATACAAAAAGAAAACACTCGACATTAAAATAGACAGTGAAACTTATACAATTCTAATCTAAAACATTATCATAATTTTCGTTATGGTTATAGTTACCCAGCAAAAAACCTTAGGTCTTAATTTTTCAAAGAAACTTCCACAGGCTACTGTAATACTTTTTACAAAACATCTGGATTTCTCCTACGTCGGTTTTTGCTTAGTCGAAATTGCTGACGTTTCGCCAATTGGCTTCATCAGAGCTTGACTGAAACTGGCTCGTATTTTACTCTGTACCTGCTTATATATTGTTTGCCCCTCATTTAGCTCCTCTCCTCCTCAAACATGGCTATGGTCGCTCAATCACCCTAGGTGCCCTCTTAAATGACATGTTAGAGACTAAACTCTAACAATTACTGAGATTGACAGAATGACATTCTGTCAGTGTTGTCAATGTTTTCGGCACAGGGACAAAAGCGGGACTGACGTTGTTTGTCCTAGTACCCTCTGCAGTAGATCCTCAGAGGCACAGGCAGGGCAGCCATATATACCCTGTCCCTGTGTCTGTTTTGGACCCTCGATCCTTAACTTGGTCCGTCTTCATAGAGTACAAGTCTCGATTACCGCCTGAGATAAATAGCAATTGTTCCTCTATCCCCAGCTTCCGGTTTTCCAAGGAATTGCAATGTTAGAATCGTTCTCAGGGCTTCGCACCTCACCTCAAGGTCTAAGGAGCGTGATTTTTAAAGAATCGGTATGGTCTGTTCATAGATATAATAAAGTGACCAATTGCTTTTGAATGGGATTATCCAAGGGTGGTCATTAACATACAAGGCAACAAGATTATTACCTAAAGTTTCGGAATTTAAGTTCAGGTAAAATTGTGGCCCGTAATAGAAAATAATTTCATACCTACCTGTGTTTAATATTCTTTGGTTTAGTATACTGCTTAGTTTAAGTTTATTAGTAATCATTCTTATTTCGTGTGTAATACAGCGTGTGTTGAATCGTGTGCGAATTATGCAAAATATGTGCGAGTCTAGTGTATCTCTGGAGATGCTCCCGCCCAAATGTAGAAAACACTATTCTATTGAGACTAAGGAAGTTATAAACAATGTTTATTTGACTCTCATTGAACGTGGTGCCAGCAAGCAAGCATCTTTAGAAGAAACGGCCACATTGACGAAAATTCCAACATTACTTGTATGGAAAATTGTGAATAATCCCATTTCAACGAGGAAAAAAATAAGCGATACTGACATTTTCTCGAGTGTAGATGAAAGTGATCAAGATATAAGACAGCGTAAAATTTATCAGTTATACGAGGAACAAACCGTGCCCATATTAGATATCTTAATTAGGAGGCTTAAAAAAGATGAAACCGGTGTTAAATGTGGCAGAACTACCTTATGGAAGTGTATTCAACACATAGGTTTTAGATTTAAAAGAATTGACAAAAGATAAGTTTTAATGGAATCTTTTAGAATTCGGAAATGGCGACTGGAATATCTAGAAAAAATTAGGATTTACAGAGAACAACAAAGGCCAATTATTTACTTGGATGAAAACTGCTTCGACACTTATGATACCCCGGAAAAGGGTTGGGTTGACTCAACTGATAAGTGTAAAACAAACAGGCTATCAAAAAGAGGTAAAAGAATAACTATTTTGCATGCTGGCTCAAAAGATGGTTGGATTCTAAATGAACTTTCTTTGTCTGCGAAAAATATTAAAGATTCTTCTCGGGATTAGCACCACCGCTGATTTATTTGAAAGTTGGTTTAAAAACAAACTAGTTCCAAACATTCCTCTTAATAGCGTCATTGTAATGGCCAATGCAAGTTATCACAGTTGATTAAAACTCCTTTGTCATGTGACAAAATAACAACAATCCAAAACTATATGTATAATAACGACATTTATTTTTACGAAGATTATACCAAAAATCAATTAATTGAGGTTCTACAAAGCTTGAACCTACAAAAGGAATACGCCTGTGATAATTATGCAAAAAATCTAGGGCATACAGTTTTAAGGCTTCCACCTTACCATTGTATATTTAATTCCACCGAAGTTTTTAACATCCCTCCTCAAAGTTGGGCAAATTCTATTAAACATATAGAAAAAGCAGAACAATCATATCCATATTGCAAATAATATAGAACAAATAATAATTAGAACAGGCGATGTTAGCGATAGTGATACTGATATATTATGTGAATAATTTTAAGTAATTTAAGTAGGTAATAAAAAAAATTGTAATTTAATTTTAGATTTAAACACAAATACATACATACATAAATAAATATTGTTTAGTATCTTTCCTAACAAAACCCCATATAATTAAATTCTAAGCAAAGTACGGACCTGTTCGGCCATATTACATTATTACATTACATATTACAGCTTGCCCGAGTCTTTCTTTAATTCGTATCAGTAAGTCACTTTCTAATATTTATGAACAGACTTTAACTACGAAACAGTCCAATCTTTGCCCTGGCCTTGGAGTTACCGCATTTAAGCGACCCTGTGTACCCGCAGGTCCCTTTGAACGCCTGCGCACAAGATGTTCTCGCTCAGGCGCTGCTCAAGGCGCGCAGGCTCGAAGATCCGATGAATTTCGTCATCGTCGAAGAGTTGGAGTGGGGGGGTACCAATCACAACATCCAGCAGCGCGCGCTCGCCGATTACGAGAACGTGTACAGCGCGCAGTCCCATTGGCAGACTATCGGAAGATTCATTTTGCAGGAGAGAGCGAACATCACGCCGACATCTTTGCGGAAAAACAAAATCACGGCAAGCCTACGTTTGGCAACGTTGGACCGCATCAGTCGGAGCCTCAGCGTCGCGCGCAACGTTGCCACGAACAGCATAAAAATGCCCGTTCAGGTAAATACGGTACGTCTAAAGTCTGTTCACACCGGCCAATTGAAAAGTTCGAGTTCAAAATATGTTTATGTGGTAATATTTATAATAAAAATAATAGGTTTATTTTGCACTTTTGGTTGGTTTGGTTAGTTGTGGTAGTTCTTTTGAGGACAATAACAGCAAAGCAAAACAACAGATTAAAGTATAAGGTATACATTTTTATATTTGTTATATAATTTGTATACGATTTTTTATATACTTTCCACATTTATTTCATAATTCATTATACTGCTCAAGTCCCTTATAAAAGATTTTATAATTTGTTTTACTATATTTTATGTTTTTTTTATAAAGTTCTTTTACATAATTTGCACATATATTATTAAAGCGCAGTTACTGTGGCCTTTAATATTTATTGATTATGTTCTCATTATTTTGCTCGTCCCTTCTAAAAGACGTTATTTTGAATAAAACATATTAAATCTAGTATTTATTTATTATTTATTTTATATTATTTACGTTACAGATATTTGCAATCTTCAATTACATATGACATATATTCATTATTAAAGAATATATGATATATACAATTTTATGTTTATTTTATTATATAGTGTAATTTTATGTTTTTTAAATGATTTTTTACTTAATTAAATATGCATCGATTATATTATCATTATTTTGCTCAACAAGGAGGTTATTTTGGATGAAACTATTTTAAATATAATAATAACAATATTAATCACTTTATTGAGCACTTGGCTAGTTTTTGGTTAGTTTTGGTTAATTTTTTTACCAATGGACACCAAACATTAAAGATATATGCATTATTTTTTTATGATATTATTTATTACAAAATACGTAAATGTATTTTTAAATATACTTTGTCAAATTTTCTCGTTTTATATATTTTTTATGTGATTTTGTATATAATTTCATTTTTAATGCTCGAGAGGTTACTATGCTCTTTAATATTTTGTGATTATAATTTTCATTATATTGGACAAGTCTCTTATAAGAAAGATCATTTTGGCCATAACTATTACGTCAACATTTTCACAAATTGTAAAATATCACTTTTCGTAGTTTGTAATGTGTTTTCCTGATAATCATTTTGTTCTATGGCCGAACTAACAGCAGATAAAGGAACAATGAATGCATTCGTCATGTTTCCTTTATTTTTGTATCTATATGTAACTTTTATAAGTTCTCTATGTAGTTGGGGCTAGTGTTTATGATCTTTTATGGTTCATGGTAAGGATTGTCTTTCATTTCTCTTTGGTCTATTAGTCTACTAGGATTTACAAATCTTCTGGACTCGTCCTGCGTCGGTTGTTGATGTTTGTGGGTTTGCACTCTATTCTGTACCTGTTCATGTACTAACCAAAACTAGCACCCAATACCACCATGCACATTTTCACTATAAGCAATAACCTTTCCTGACCCTACGACTGTGGTGTTATTTTTATTATTATTATCGCTTTAGTTATTTTTTGGTCTTCCTGCCAACCGAAGCTGACCAAAGTTTGCCTCAATACAACCTTTCACCTCCTGCCTGTGCAGTCATTTTGTAGTTTATTATTTTCTCTCTTATTATATTTTGACAAGTTAGAAGGATATTGTCTTAAATATTCCGTAAAACATTATTTTAAATTGTGGATGACCCCTTCTGGTCTGCCATCGAGCGACGTAACTCAAAGTATAATTTTTGGTTAGTGCATGCGTCCTCCGTAGGTGGCTCTGAGCGATCCGACGACGTCGAAGCACGGGTCCAGAAACCGCCAAATGGCACGCGGGAAAGTCCACTCGGAAAAGGAGGTCGCGGGTTCGGCTTGCCTCCCATCGAAAAAACAGGATCCCCAACGCGAGGTCCATTCAGAAGGGGAAACTTTGTCCGACGACGACATCCTCACGACGGTCGCGAGGTTAAAAAAGGCCTCGATAAGGAAGTTTAAGGAGTGGAAGTCCTGACTAAGCGACTAGGCCAGCGTTTGGCTGCGCGGATTCGCTTTTCGACCGACCGACGACGTCTAATGGCCGGCCAAATCGTTGTCGCGGCGCTAAAGGTATACACATACGTCTTTCGAAGAAAAAAACAAAATGGCGTTTTTTTTATCAAGCATTTAACATATTAAGGCACGAGTGATTTGAAGATTGCGAAAGTTAGATAATTTTTATTAAGAAGCGTTGACGTTTTAAAGATATAAAAGGCAATATCTAGAATAAATGTAAAATTATGGCGTATCGCTACTATATACATATATATAGACCTTTTCATTATTGTAAATTATGAGATTTTTGAACGTGTTCCATGTCGATTTTAACTAGAAAAATCTGTCGAATGCGCGCCACTGGTGATAAATTCAATCGCGCATGTCAAACGAAATCCTCGGCATGCCAGCAGGGATGTTTCATTTGAGGTTATGTCGGTTGGGTCAATTGTTGTGGGAAAAAAATGGTTTCCTATTAATTTAATTTTTGTTTGTCGTCACGAAGGTCTTCCTTCCGTGTAATTCAAATGAATTAACTCATTACATTGGCGTCTTCGAAGGTTATCTAATTGATTCTTACAGGTAAAATCATGGTACGCCATAGACGTTTGGATATTTCATTTCTTTTACATCAAGCGATGAAAGTTTTTTTTGTCCTTTTACTTTTTTGTGCTTACAGAATTGAAATTCTTTTAAAGAACAAATAGGGACGCCGCTGGAATGGGTAATTTCATTTCGATTAACTGACGCAAAATAAAGACATTTACGACGACAAATGAGCGTGCCAAGTTTTTCCTAATTTAATTAAATAGTTTTTGAGTGTTTTATAAGAAAAGCTATTTTTTTTTAAATAAATTTTGACATCCTGTATCTTGAAAACGAAGTTGTATTTGAAAAAATACCTAATTAATATGTCCTTAAAACCTTTGTACTGAATATAGACAAACTCCGTATAAATGTAGTCTTTATTAAATATTATTTAATTAAAATCGGTCTAATTTTAGAAAAAAAAATCGTTTTTTGTTTTTTATTTTTTATTATTACCTTTTCGCTGATTTGTGACTAAAGTGGGCGCCATAGGGTCTTTATGTTGTGCAATTAGAATGAAATTATTCATTCCAGTGGTGTCCCTAATTTTCTGTCTTTTTACTTTTTGTGTGCCTAATTTCGTTGAAAAAAGAATTGAAATTCCTCCGAGGACCTGTACTAATAGAGTTAAAATTTACTTAAACTAAAGAACCAATGGGAACTGGGACGTGACTAGAACGAGGACGCTAAGTTTTTGCAAAATCTACTGCAAGGTTCTTGAGTAATTAAAAAAAACGATTTTTCTCTCAATTTTGACGCCCTGTATCTCGCAAAACTAATCAATTACAAATCAGATGGTAAATGTGTCCTTAAAATCTTTATTGCCAATTCCAAAAGGGAAGTTATTTTTCAAATTAATTAATGTTTTTAAAATAATTAAAATATTTTTTTATATTAATTTCATTATTATTAATTTATTCTTTCATTTATTAATCGTATTAAAAGGTTTTTTAATATTAATTTATATTTATATATTAATTAATTAATATGTATATAATTAATTAAATTATCTTTTAATGTTAATTAATTAAAATTTAAGTATTAATTAAAATCAATTTATTTCTATATTTTATAGATGTTTCGCTAGATACAGGATGACGCAATTTCGCCCATGTTTAGGGCAATTTCGACGCTTATTTTTAAAACGTTTTCATTCAGACGGGGTGTTGCGCAATTGCTTGGCCATATACAAAATATATTTATTGTTAAAATAAACCCTCTATATTGCGACGTCGTCAAATTATCGGGAAAAATTAGACAATACTTCTGTCACTCTCCATCCGCGCCATCTATGCTATCAAAAACGGATCTTCACATAGTCACATGTTTTATTAACGAGGCGCCTAAGTAATTATTTTCTTACCAATTTGACCAAGTTTCAACTAAGTTGTCTCAAATATTTAAATTGGTCATGTATTTGACTTAGTTGTCGCCCCTCTATCGCTTTTATCAACGTTTCCCTACGCCTATGGATTCAAGTTTCCCTTAATATTCGTTTTTATTGTTTTATTATTAATATAAGGCAGAGGAAGTTATTAAAAGCGCAAAAGACAGAGAAAATTATTAATTATTGGTAAGGAATCATGTTTTCTTTAATATTTTCTATTTTTCCCCGACTAGGTGGCAACGTCGCATTAAAAATGGCATGAACATCGTAGTTGGATCGTAATAAGCACCATATCTAATTGAAAATATTTTTAAAGTGTTTTTTTGTCGCAGGATTTTTCGAAATTGCGATAAATAACGTAACAACGTTATTTATCGTGAATGACAGTCCCTACTTTTAAACGAATATAATAAAACATGTTGAGGTTTCGTCCACAAGTTTTGCAGTCTATTCTTCGTTGCGCACTTTGATTCTGGTTGAGAAATTAATTCTTAGTACTACTAATGGCTTTCCTGCCCTCTGACGCAGGAAAGAAAACAGACGGAAATTGTAAAGCGGGTATGATAGAATTTTTCGGAAGCTTATTTACGATATCGATAGGTTTTTAAGAATCACCCAAAAACGCTACAACAGTTACTCGTTAATAAAAAAAAGTATTTGTATTAGCTTTAATAAAAAGTAAACCCCGAACTTTTGTAAATTATCCCCTTCCGTAAATTTAAACCGTTTTTTTTTGTAATATGTTAATATATAAAGTAAGAATGCCATACTACTATATCATTACGAGTGTCATATTGAGGGAACGCTATAACGTGTACCAGTGATTTTTTAAAAGTTATATTTCGTTGATTCGTTGTAGACTTTCTATAGATTATTGCAAAAATATCGTTAAACTATAAAAATACTATGTAAAAATTTTTAAGTAATACAATATAATATAACGTAGTGCTTATATTTTATTGCCGCTTACACCCCCCCCCCTCATTCCCCTAACACCGGTCACCGAATCGCCAAACGTTTCGATCTGTCATCTGCGGTCGTCTTCAGGTAAATATCAAATAAACTTTATGCTTGCTGGTTATAGCTATTAAATTTTTGCGTTTTTTAATAATTTTCTCTGCCTTTTACGTTTTTCATATGTTCCTCTTTATTTTGCGTTTTTAATATTTTCCTCTTAATGTTGCGTTTTTGATATTTTTTTCTGTCTTTTGCGTTTTTAATATTCTCTTTATTTTGCGTTAATATAGCAGCTCGGGATCAAACGGAACCTGCTGAGATGTGATTTGGATCCACGATTTCATCCCAGGTTCACCCAAAACCACCTCTGGGCCATATTTCTGACTTGTCATTAAGCAGCAGTGTATTTTCTGGAAATCTGGAGGTCTCCAAAGTTTGTTCTACCTTGAAAAAGGACTATCCATCTCTTGTTGGAACTTTTCTGAGGTATATTAAATCTTATTATTAATATTATGATTATTATCATCCGCTCTGTCTCTTTCTAGGTCAATCACGACTTCTCTTTCGTAAAGTTGGCATGAAGCCTTCCGTTTTAGTATATAAATTCTTGTTTTTCAAAATTCAAATCGGACTTTCTGTCTCTTTCTAGGTCAATCACGACTTCTCTTTCGTAAAGTTGGCATGAAGCCTTCCGTCTTAGTATATAAATTCTTGTTTTTCAAAATTCAAATCGGACTTTCCATCCATTTATCAAAATAAATAAGATCTAAAAGTTCAGATTTTCGTTATTCTGAATGGCGCTCACTCGGTCACTCATTCATGACCAATCCTTGATCATTCTCTTTCTTTGACTGACTGTTCTTAGGCCTTTTTACCAAATCGACAAACACTCGACAAATACTCCCCTTTATTGAGTTTGAAGGTTTCGGGTCACTTCTTTTTGACATAATAGAAAATATGACAATATTCCGAAATTTATATATATAATCAGATAGTAATAGATTCTTAATTACCGGTGTAATTAAGTAATAGATTCGAATATCTTATTTTATTAATCTCCATGGCTTCCAACAAATTAACTTTTTGCTTTTTGTTTCTTGATCTAAAATATCAAAATTTCGTCACACATTTGCATTTCTCTATTTAAATGAATTTTATTTTTGTGCCCTCTTCTATGTTCCGCCTGTGTGTCCGAAATATATTCTAGGACATGATTCCCATTTCAACTTGTAGACTCTGGATTTTTGTTTTTTTTTTTAGTTTCATTGTTTTTTAAAATTTTCCAATTTTTCAGGTTTAAAAGCAATCTTAAGAAAAAAATTGGATAGATATTTAAAAATGTTTTATAAATTTTGAGTTCGGTATTTAATATGGGATAAACAAAGTTGAGAATTAATTGAAACTGTTTTTTAGTTATAATCTTATGAATCAAAGACGGTATGTAACTATTTTTAAATGCTATTTGTTTTATAATATTTAATTATTTTTCATAATTTTCTATGGAAAGTGTAGTAGTCTGTGGATAAAACAATAAAATTATAAAATAAAATATTATGAATTACTGTGTCCATGTGTGAGGGTTTATTAAGTTCAAAAGGTTTAAAGAGATATCTAGTTCCGTCTAGATGATAAATTTTATACTGTTATGTATGGAGTTAATATAATTCAAAAGGACCGCATTTGTCTTTCCGTTGCAGTGAAATAAACATTTACTTATCTGTACTACCAAAGAAATTTTTTACTAAGAAGTATGTATGAAATTTTCTACATTGTGTCTTGTTTTATGATAAGTTGACTCTCTGAGTAGGAATATTATCGATTATGTTTATTACGTCAAACGGTGGAATGCTAAGGAATACATTTTGGATGTCAAAGGTAACTAGAATTGCCTTAGGAGGAATTTAAATGTCTTCAACCTTGTTGATTATTTCGAACAAATTTTTGATAACATATCTAGGTTTAAAGGCAATATGATATTCTAAAATTTTTGCGCCATCATAAAACCAGACTTGATAGATACTTTAATAGTTTGTTTAGACCAAAATTATTTTGAATTTAATGGTTAATTTTATATTGCTAAAGAAGGATTAATTATGGGAAACCCACTTAGTCCACTACTTGCAGAAATATAAAAAATAAAATATATACAATATACAATATAAGAAATATCATTAAGTAAAAGATTTATTTGATGGTATAGATATGTACATGATATTTTTGCTTGTTTCACTGGAACGGAAGGACAACTGCAGTCCTTTTTGAATCGTATTAACTCCGTGCATAACCGTATAAAATTTATTACTACTTTCTGGACTTAACCATAACTAAATTGCAGAACAAATTCGATTTCGATAAGATTATAAGTAAAAAACAGTTTCAAATAACTATGAACTCTATCTATCCCATATTAAACACCAAACTCAAAATTTATAATACATTAAAATACATAGGGGAACCAGCACGAAAATTACGAAATATTTATCTTAATTTGGTCTTAAGATTGTTTTTAGAACTTGGAACACCATTGGAATATTATTGAGAAACAATAAAACTAAATCACGAAAAGCTCAAAAATCAAATCAAATAAAAATTTTGATATTTTATATAATGAAACAAAAAACAACAAACTAAATTTGTTGAAAGCTATGGAGATTAAGAAAATGTGACATTCAAATTTATTACATAGTGACCAATTGGATTTAAATGCGTCTCCGTTGTTAAATTTATATTTATACCTACACCCTACACCGGTAATTATGAATCTATTAATATCTGATTATATATACAGATGTCGGAACCTTGTAATATTTTCTTTATGATAAAAGCACGGTGTTGCCGAAACAGCTGTCAGGAATTAATAAATTACTGTGAAAATCTGACGATTTTTTGTTCTAATTTAATTGTGAAGAGGGATAGACTTGAACTTATGTCGTTTTCTAACCTTACCATTTTGAGTAAAAGACGAGTGAAGAGAAGCAGAACGGGACAGAAAATTCGTAAAGAGATTTAAATTCACCATGATCATAAAGGGTTATTGGAATTTGTTGATCCCGTGTGTAACCGTTTTGGTAAAATTTTTGTCTATTTTCTTCACTGCAAAGTTATCTTTTTCATTTCCTTAATAAAATGTCGAATGTTGAAACTTATGTGTTGAGCGATGATTAGAAAATGGGCATAAGGGACCTTGGAGTTGTGTTTCAGATGAACTTCATCTTTATTTTTCATATTAATCAGTTGGTGGCTTTAGATTTTGTTTTGCGAAATTATAAGCAGCTTCACTCACGCGATATCTAATTACCGATTATTTCGTTTTCCGTCTAAAAGAAATAAAGGTTTACTTGGCAGTGTCCGCGGGGGAAACGGGGGAGACCGTTTTTTTTGTTATCGAGCAAAGTCCTATATTGGAAGCCGAGGATAAATATTGGTAATAGCTTTTTTGTTAACTGTTGGTCTGTGATGAAAACGAAAAAAATTCATTGACGGACATCGGTAATGAGCGAATGGCCATAGTAGTCTTACCCAACTGTTTGTAAATAGCAAAAAGAAGAAGAAGAAGAATTTCGGCAGTTGGCTTTGGCGACGAAGAAGATTGGTGTCGTTTAGAAGTGTCTCAAAAAAGTGCTGAAAAATGAGATACTTACGGGTCTCGTTTCTCAGGTAAGTGAAGTAACCTTGGATCGTCATTTAATAATAAATGTAAGGATTATGTTGCCTAGGGTCGAACAATGTCGTCAATTGTAAAAGTAGGAGTTATTAGCGTATATGTGACACTTCGATTTATTTTTCAGACAATGATATTCTTCATTCTGGTAAATTAAAACAACATAATGTATGCTGCAATTCAATTCAGAACGCCGTGGGTTTTTATAATCCCCAGCATGTTTTGAAAATTTTCTAATTAGCGTAATGAATGTACAGTGGCCTCTCTGGATTTTAGATTTTCTTTGTTTTTGTTTGAAACTAAACAAACCTTTAAATTATTTATACGAATTTAAATGTTTCTTTCATTCTCTAACCAAAAGACTTTTATTTGCGACTTCATAAGTAAAGTTTAAATTACATGTACAGTGTGGCACAGCAGAAACGCATTTTCTAAACTTTTTTTTTAATTTTCAAGTTAATTTTCTTTCGATTACAGCGAAATGCCGCGATAATGCAGTTTTCTATGTCGAAACGTTCAGTTCCCATATGCCGTGGGGTTTATTGGCAATACTTAAGGAGATCAAAAAACGTGGCAGAAACGTGAAGTTGCACTTAATCAAAAGTACCAGACACAATTTGCACAATTATTGCTTCATTCAGATATTGATTAAAGCAAAATTATCGGGAAATTAATGTCTTTTTTCTGAACATCGAATTTAAGGTTTCTATTAATCCTTCCATATTGAAATATCTATACAAAATGTCCCATTTTTCAGTAAAGCTAGTGTGTTGTCGCTTTCGTGGCCCGAGGGTGCTTTTTTTGTGAATTGTAGTGTCCTAGTTATCTTTAGATGCAGTGTGATTTTGGAAATTTTTGGATTTTTGAACCCTCTTTGTAGCTCGATTGTGGATATTGAAAAATTTAAAACTAGTGTGCATGATTTTTTCTATACTTGATAGTCAACTTCGTTTTTACTTGAAAATGAGGTTTCAAACGAGCTGCGCTGAGTTAATAGCCAAATACTTTTTTATCGTCCTGTATTGTCAGCATAGGCAAGGCCTCTGTATACCTGGTGCGAATAGCTAGCTAGGTATATGATTTTTTAAATAGGATGTAGGATCCAGTGACGCAGTCAGTTCTGTTGTAAAACCCACTTATTTTGGCATATACACTAAACTATTTTTTTAATGCATCCTACAAGATGATGCATTAAATATGCATAATAATTTTATTAGGATTTTTGTTTGCTTTTTATAAGAATGTACATGGCGTTTCAAAGCAAATGCGAAAAACTTCGGGGGTAGTTGCAAAATGAAAAGTAGTTAGTTATAAAATAA